CGGGACCGGGCAGTTCGTACCCCCGATGGCCCGGCCCACTGGCTACCTTGCTGAGGTCCCTGTTCAGACAGTTCAGATCCTTGACGTGGTGGCTGTTGACGTAGCGGGTCGAGTCCTTGAAGAGCCGGTACATGACGTACCCCTGCGGGTCCAGCGCGTCCACTATCGGCGACGCAGTCTGAAATGCAAGCAGAGACACATTATTGGTGAGCCCCGGCGGAAATACAGACATTCCTACGTCATGCAATACGAGCATAGAGTCCGAAAACACAAATGATTCACGACCGCCAGCGGAAATACAGATATCCCTACGTCATGCAGTACGAGAAAAGAGTCTGAAAAGACGAAGGATTCACGAGCCCCAGCGGAAATACATACATCACTTTATCATGCACTACAAAAGTTGATAGCTTTATTCATTCAGAAGCGCAGCAACATACCTCACGTGCGTACGCCTCTCTAAATTGTAGACACATCTACATCATGTGCAAAGCTACCAGCACCCAAAAACAACCCACAGCTCACTTCCGCCCCACAGAAGCGCGGGTCCAAGCCGCATCGACACCCCGCTGACCCCTAGCGGCGATCACGCGACTCCGCCGCCGCTGTACTCACAAATCCCTGCTCGGCCGTGTAGACGACGACCTCGAAGAGCGGCGGGCCGACCTGCTGCAGGAAGAAGTCGATGCCGGGCCGCTTCTTGAAGCGCCAGCCCGTCTTGTACGTCCAGTCGGGGTGGACCAGCACGCCGGTCATCTCCAGCACGAGCGTGTAGGGCGGCTGCATGTACGGGTACTGCAGCGGGTCGGGCAGCAGCTGGGCCCGCGACGGGTCCTTGATCATCTGGCGGCGGAGCGTGGCGAGACGCGTCAGGCGGGGGGAGGGGAGGAGCGGCCGCGGCGGACAGGCGGCGCGTCGGTCTCCGGCGACGCGAGACGAGGCGCTTTACGACATGGGGAGACGGGTCCGCTGAAATTCCGCGCCACCGAGAAAAGATCTCCAGGAGCAAGGAGCGACAGAGCAGCTGAAGCGATGCACCGCACAGATAGGTTTGCGATGCAGTTACCTTGTTGTAAAGCTTGAGCTCCTTCCACGTCCTGCTCAGGTACTGCGTTACGAATGACATGTCCGAGAACTCGTCGTACATGACGTTGCCCTCAGGGTCCTTGATGGGCGCCCCTGTAAACAAAGAGAGCTTAGGTTCTGTGCATGTCCTCTGAAACAAAGTGGGAGCTGGACGGACAAATCGTGGATATTGAAGCATCCACGTTAAATCTTGAAAAACATGCACAAGCGTTTTCTGGGTAGCGAGATCATATAGCACGCAGAAACGCTTCAATAAAAAGAGGCACCTACATGACGAGGCACACAAAATACACCTTGACAACATAACGCACAAGGACAAGAAAAGACAAGTGGCATAACAGTGCTATCAAACCTACCAAACTGACCCGCCTAAAATGTACGACGCACCTTGAAAAATGGTCACCTAGCGCACCACACATCGGGGCCATGGCAACAATTATCCCACGTAAGCGGCTTCATCGCAGGCCCGCGGGCAACCAAAACGTACCAAACACTGCTATCGTCCAGCCGCTGAAGCCTGCCAAGGTCACGCCGAAGAAGGCGAAGGTGTACTTCATGGCCCTCCACGACGCCTCCTTCCTCTTCTCCTCCTCGGCGCGCTCGTCCTCGCTCTTCTGGCCGCCATCAGACTGCTTTCCGTCGCCGCCCGTCTTCCCCTGGCTCTCCTCCGCCTTCACCTTGGCGCTAAGGATCTCATCGGCCAGTCCGGAGCCGGCCGACGTGGAGGTGAAGCCGGTCAGCTTGCTGCCCTCGCTGCCGCCCTTGCCCGTTGAGTACAGCGCCACAGTGGACGTCTTCAGGAGGGAGGCGCCGAGCCGCCGCAGCAGCGGCTGCGAGTCCAGCCGCGGGCCGGCGACCGTCCGGCACACCGCCTGGTGCGAGAGACGCGACAAACCCGACAGGCTGGCGGCCAGCTGTGCGCAGCGTCCGGCGGCCATCGCGGCGCACTCGGACTGACTAGTGTCGCTCGCGAGCTTACGAGCAGTATCCCTTCCGTCAGGCTCCGAGTCCGGACAGCCAATACACTTGCAACAATGCTGATATTAATTGATTGTTTCAGCTCCTGTCAACAGCTTCCTTTGAATGTTGCGGTAGACCTGAAATGGCAGTGAAGTGTCAGATGTGCATATGCATGGCAAAACTGTTCTAAATTTTTTAAAAGTTATTCCGAAGCAAGGGCAGTGTGGCAGAGGGAGGATGGGGGGGGGGGGGGGGGGGGCAGAAAAACCATTGCTCCCTGCCAGCAGGCAGGGGAGGCAATACCAACTTTTTGCCAGATCAAAATTTTGGAATCCCTTTTGCCTGAAGGCTTTGTAGGTTCTCATGGATTACCAAAAGCAATGTCAAGTAAGCCCTCATAACTGAGGTAGCCCATGCTCCAGATCACAAGTCCCTTTTGCTGGATCATGGAGGCCCCCTTCTGAACTAGGTCTCTATTCTGCATTAGGATGCAGTGCAATGTGTCACAAAGACCCCTTTCTAGAACAGGAGAGTCTTTTGACATCAAATGGCCATATATCTGGATCAGGAAGACCTGGCTTTGGGCTGACAATGCCCTTTGCTGGATTTGGAGGCCCTGTTCTGAAAGAAGGAGGTCCTTAGCTTTATTGAGAAGACCCACATGCTAATCAGAGGGGCCTTAAGTTATTAACATGGGTGTTGATACATGTCACAATTTGACAAGGATCAAGCCCTCCCCCTTGCATATGACACATGTGGAATATTCAGAGGTGGAATGGTCCTTCAGATGTCTCTCAAGTGGGCTTGGGAAAGCATTTGTACTTGAGTCTGTGGTCCCATCTACCAATATGTATCATGATGGCTGACTCCCTTGGATTGGGGCAGACTATCCCCTTAGCAGAGTATAGAGTATATCTTCTAGCAAAGCCAAGGTTGCCAATTCTCTCAGCATGGGCATCCTTCAGCCTAGTATAGCCTGTGTTTCTGTCTAAGCCTCAAACACAACTTTGCCTAAGGTTGGGGAAAACATGGTCTTGGAACACCTTCTTCCTGGGGTTATGACATACCATTATCAGGGATTAGCATCATCCATTAACCTGAATTTAGGGGTCCCACTTTCTTTGAGTTTTGATGACACACTTTTGGCTTCCATTAACATATCAACAGGGCAGCCTTAATTGGATGAAAGGGTACAAAAATTACATGATTTTAGAGGAGATCTGGCCCTACTTGAGTTTCCCACTGCTTACACTTAATAGTGCACCACCTGCCTTTGTTGAACTCTACACATGATCAACTGAGAACTACATTAGATGAACACATATGTGATCATCTAAGAAGTATACTCACTCATGGCATGACACTTAATAAACATGGCAAAAATCACATCTATCCTCAGGTCTTCAGGGGCTTACATCCCTGCACACACTGTTTGGTGGGACACCCAAAAACAGACCTCATGGTATGTTTTCCTGAGAGGCATATAAGGCAGAGTATGTCAGACAATACCCTGAGCTGGTAGCACAACCAAAATGACATGGTTAACAACCAAAAATAACAGTTGTTAACACACATCCAAAAGATGGTTAAACCATGTTCCCCTGCCTCTCATAAATTAGTGAAAAGGCAGACATTATATCTCTTCAGGCTGAGTTTTCAGGAACACAGCTAAAACAACTGCCTGCCAGCAAAATAACCGCCCACAGAGCAGGGCTCCCAAGCACCATTCACACTCCACCTGATGATGTATGCACCAAACTCAGTCTGGGCTATATTGCACTGAATGTCCAAGCTGCTATAAGCTCCCACCCTAAAATTACATTTATCTGAAAAAACATCACTCAACAGACTAAAATAGGTGGTGCTAGCATCAATGCTCCAGCCACAGGACATCAAAATTTCTTGTGAACACATGCCAAGATTCTTTATCCAATGTTTCACTATGCTGGAGATGCTTTGCACATGATCTTACTTACACTCTGGAACAACATTTCCTTTCAACAACAAATAATGTATCTGCCATTTGGTCAGTCTGAAAAAATACATATGCTGCACTGGAGACCTTTTCAACATGAGTACTCTGAGCCTAGCAATTGCACATGCCACTCAGGGCCAAGCCAGATTAGCTTTTACATACATGAAAAAGTTTCTACAGCATTTTTGACTAAAAACATCATGACTCCATGAAACATTTGCCCCCTACACACTGAAATTGATGCTGACCATTCACCCAACTGGGTGCTTGGATTCACGATGAACATGCGGTGTAATGGTTGCCGTGATTGTAGTTTGGCCTTTGGGTACTTTGGAGCGGTAGTCAGGGTAAGAACTGACTTATCTGTGGGCCGCAAATCACCACAATTTAACGTTACTTTGAAAATGATGAGCAACTACAAACGGAAACTGCCCAAAACCACTTCACACGTTGCCTGTTCCCAACCAACATATTACAGGAGCATAAGCCGGATGGGTTCCGCACCTGAACATCCACACAATCGCGTGCTTAATACGGTCCCGTGCGCAAAGCACCGTACACATGATTGCAGCTTACGCGTCACTAACGACTACGTAGGCTGCTTCCAAAACAAAATTCTCTTAGTTTCTCGAAATTTTTTCTATTCCGTATCATCGGTCCCACGTGCGTGTTTCGGACGTGTGGATTGATGCGCTGCTGTGTTCACCCCCGTGGGTCTTGGTTTGGGGCTGCTGGTTGTTCCTCTCGGTTATTCGTGCATTAGGTATTCAAAAAGGTAAGGCGTTCCGCTTGGTGCTTGGGGATATCGACGCATCCCGGCGACCTGCCGGGCAGGGTGATTTTGTCACAAGTACCTACGTATCGTGGAACACTGCGTCCTGGTTTGGGATCGATAGTAAATATTACTATGTGTATTTAAGGGTCCATACAGCATAACAAGTTTTTTTTGTTGCATCCTACCGAAATGAGCCGAAATTTCCCTTAAGAAATATATTTTGAGCAATTAAAATGCGGGAAGACCCGGGGCCAGATTGCCAAAATACCCGGGTCACCTGCAAAAAAGATACATGCTGCGCTGTTCACATGAGCATGTTGTCACAGGCAGTAGCAAAATTCCACCAACAATTTCAGTGCATGTACAGTGTAAATGTGAGATCCCCATGTCCAGTGCATAATCACCAATTTCAGCACAGGGTCACAATGTTTCAAGGAGTTATAACATGATGTGATGAATAACAAGGTAATTTCAAGCAAAGATAGTTTGAAAACTCATCACAGTTTGGTCTTGCCTGAGTTTTGCACACATGTGCTCCAGGTTCAGCACACCCATGTCACAAGCATTGGATGCAATGGATGATTCTTTTTTGCAGGCTGGCTGGCTGATGTGCTGATTGATTTGTGACACTAAAAAAATACTTAGCCAATGGTAGGCCAAATTGACAATGATATATATTATGCCATAACACATGTCCCATGCAGCAACAATTTTCACCTTACTGTGGAGCATATACCTACTAAATCTAAACTCTGAGTTTATTGCTCAGTCAGGACTCATTTCATTGGATAGGGGCAATATTTCATGGACATGTGATTGTGATATTGCAATGGTTGTTTCAGGGAAAATACTACAACACATTTTTTTCACAGAAAAATGGTCTGTATATTCTTCATAAATTAGCATTTTTCTTCCCCCAATGTTATTAGACCCCAAAAATCATGTCAACCCCAATTCCAAAGACCAGGATAAATTTTGTGACCCCACCTCCCTTTATATTATAGGTATGTGCACCACAATACTTTTTCAAAAGCAGTAGTATATAATAGAAGCAGTCATTTATCAAAGTGTGGAGAGGTTCATATGTTTTGCAAGTTTAAAATGTTTAACAACTGACCAAATGAGCATTTGTGAGCTCACTGGTGCATCTCAAGAGTGGGATCTTGACATTTCATGCCACCCTGGAGTGGAAACAATTCTTTTCTATCAGGAGAGGTCCTGGCCAGAGCTCCAATAGGCCCCCACTGATGTTCCAGATTATAATATTGACTTAACATAGGTAAGGGATACCACTGTTTGTCCTTTGTTGCTCAATAGTGCTTTAAGTATTATAGCATATTTTTGTGCTTGGTGTATGTCATAAAAATGGAGAACTGCTTGTAGGTCTAGTCCAAGTCCAGGCACTAACCCAGGCAAGATATCACCACACACCAGGATTTGGCACAAACAAGGAGAATCAGGTGTTAGGTGTTTTAGAGGTAGTTCTCAATATGCATTAAGGTGACAGAAGTTGGGGATAGGTCACACTTCACACACCTTTGCACCTTTTAATTTTTTGGCAAATTTGCATGATATTCAAACAAGGGTAGATGGTTATGAAATTGTGCATTTGTGGATAATGATTTGGTGCATCAGAGGTTGTTTCATGCAAGTTATGCATGAGCACACAGGTTTGCATTCAGTTGTTATAGGGGTTCTGCCACCTTCCACCACCTCACACTTTGACATTAACCTGCCAACTTTGAGAGGAAAGTGTATGAAATGTGTGGAAAACTGGGTGTTGTGTGAAAATAAGGATACCCAGTTTGTTGTTTTCAGGTAGCACCCATCAACTGGTTATGCAGGACCATTTCCTTGGCTATGCATTTTGTAATATGATCCTTAGCAAGCCCACTGTTTACAAATATGCGTTTTCATAAGTTGTTCAGTGCATTAGCGAGGAACATTACTCACGTGTTTTGATAACGGCATGTTTGTTTATTTGTTTTGATGCCTCGTTTCAATAAAAGAATGTTGCTGAAATATCAAACAAACTATGTTTCCATTCTCCTGGTTTTTCTGAGCAATAAAGCTAATGCTACTGTCTTATCAATATGCATTTTCCACAGATGATCTCTTTTAAAATACTTTTCATGCCCCAATGCAGGAAATTTTCTGATCATATGCTATAAGCAGCACACTCGCACAAACAGGCACATGCTAACATGTATGTACCACACAGTCGTCTGCCTTTTGTGATCCCTCAGGCTCTGTGAGCAGAAGATGGTTCCAGGGATCTAGATTGGAACCTTACCATTTTATGGGTCATGGGACTGAAGGGTTTATTTAAAGGCAAGACTGTAACTGGAAGCCTCACTGCTGGGTTCATCTTCACATTGAATTAACCCTGTGACCAATCAACCAATCTGCTTTTTCTGTCATGTTTTGGGCAGGAGCTGTGCGAGGACATGGCCATCAAAGCTGGCTTTCAACCAGAAACAGCCCACATACTTTAAACTGTGACCTGAACTGTGACCTTAGTTGTGACCAGACTGCGACGGCGGGATGGACCCGGAGACGCAGGAGAGCGTGCGGGACAAGCTGGAGCGCGCCATCCACCTGCTGGAGGTGGTGAGCGCCTCTGACCCCGAGGACGAGCCGTACAAGTCAAAGTACGCCGCCCGCGAGCTCCTCAACGATGCCAAGTTCCAGCTGGAGCGACACATCGAGCAGAGTGGTGAGTGTCCAGTAGGGTGCTGCTCTGGTCAGCTGAAGACACAGGGGCGATTCAGAGCAGATGGTAAGGTTGTTGGAGAATCTGAGAGAAGAAGGTGAAGCATTTGTGTTTGGATAGTTGGTAAGGCTATCATGTTTCATCAGCTGTGACAGCTCTGGAATGCAAGAACAAACTGGATCTAACACAGGCCTCAACCTATGTGAATGCCTGAGGCGAGCAAAAATCTGTAAAAAAAGAATGCTGACAGAAGAGTTTGTTGTGCCAAACATAAATGTACCCGCACATGTTTTTGTTAGGTCATGTGAAAACTTCAAATATTCATACAGGCTTTTTGAATATGCTGGTTCCAATATTCTTTCCGCGGCCAGATGGGATGTGTAGCTTTGGTGCACATCTTTTCCCTAGATACGAAGCGAACATGTATTTCTGTTATTTCACCTCAAAACATGACGGTACCGCTGTCCATGTGCCGTCATTTTGTATCCCTGACTCATTTCCCTGCAACACTGTGTGCTCTGATGAGCCTGCGTGCCGCCGGGTCTTGTCTCGGGCCCTGGCTGGGGCCCGGGCCCCGCCCCCGTGACCCGCACCCCGGCCGCGCTGAGAGCCGCCGTCCCGCCGCGCCGCCAGACGTGATCGGCCCGGCGTCGCACCAGCTGGCGGCCGTGCTCTACTACCTGGGCTACATCGGCGTCGAGACGGACGAGCCGTCGGCCGGCGAGGAGCTGCTGGAGGCGAGCCTGCGCGCGGCGCCGGCGCTCGGGCCCTGCACCGTCATCAGCACACTGAGCGCGCTCAACCAGCTGGGCCTAGTGTGGAGCCGCCGAGGCGAGCACAACCGCAGCCAGCACTACCTGCAGACGGCCGAGACCGTGTACCAGCAGTACCGCGACCAGGTCACGCTCAAGGTGTGTGCGGCGGTGGCGTCGGCGCGGGGGGGGGGGGGAGCGTCAGGGAACGCGCGAGATCGGCGCGGGGGCGCATGTTGGGGAACGCGCGAGATCGGCGCGGGGGCGCATGTTGGGGAACGCGCGAGATCGGCGCCGGGGGGCGCATGTTGGGGAACGCGTGAGATCGGTGCGGGAGGCGCATATTGGGGAACGCGCGAGATCGGCGCGGGGGGCGCATGTTGGGGAACGCGCGAGATCGGCGCGGGAGGCGCATGTTGGGGAACGCGCGAGATCGGCGTGGGGGGCGCATGTTGGGGGACGCGCGAGATCGGCACGGGGGCGCATGTTGGGGAACGCGCGAGATCGGCGCGGGGATCATGTCGGGGAACGCGCGAAATCGGCACGAGGCGCGCGCCAGGTACAGACACGGTGACGTGGAAGATGTGCGCGTGACAATCCTAGGGGAGTGGGGGGTGGGGGGGGGGGGGGGGGGGGTACCGTCAGGCGGAGCCAAGAGCACAAACTGCTCCTAGCCTTGCGTTAGAGGTAGGATAAGGCTACATGCGCGATCGCTTCACTGCTGAGAAGTGTTCGGTTGCATGCCACTCGCGGCGTGAAACGGTCGCGTGATGATATCTGACCTTGTTGACCTTGTCGATGTCTGGCGGTGTCCGCTGACCTCCGACGACCCCCGCGGCAGCCGGTGGAGATGTCCGAGCTGTTCCGGGAGGGTCGTCCCGACGATGAGAAGACGGACGACTCGAAGGAGGGCCGCAGCGGCCAGACCAAGCTGGAGGAGCTGCACACCCTCACGCTGTACTATCTGGCCCAGGTACCCCCCCCCCCCCCCCCTCCCGCCTTCCGCTTACCACGTCGGTCGGCATGCGTGCCGTGTGGTCGGCGGTAATGTGGACGGACAGTGTATCTCCGTGGTGTAGCCGGCGGAGTAGTGCGCAGTGAGCGGCCTCGGCGCGGGAGGTCTGGGTCCCGAGCCCCCCCCCCCCCCCTGCCGCAGCAGACTCACTGCCCTGGTCTCCACCAGAAGCGACGACGCTTCGGAAGGTAGTCTTATGCAGTGCTAACTGCGTGATTTACTTTTTTCCTGATCGCTAAATGACCATTACAGTCGATACGTCCTAAAACACCAAAGACAACGACTGTTAGTTTTTCTTAGGTAGTTTATCGGACTTCCCCGCCTGGTAAGCGTGGTGGGCCAATGCATTTCTTTCACGTCCCCTTAGGCGTACAACAACGTGGGCGAGCCGGTGAAGGCAGCGCTGTACTGCCACAACACGCTGTCCCGGCAGCTCGACAGCGCTTCCTTCGACAAAGTGGAATGGGCGCTTAACTCGGCCACGCTCTCCCAGTTCTACCTGCCCAAGCAGATGTTCCGGTGAGCCCCCCCCCCCCCCCCCGTCCTCCTTACACGCAGGGCCGCACGATGTGTTCGTTTTGAAACTCACTTGCGTTGTGGTTGAAGTAATAGGCGCCGTTTTAGTCGCAGGAGGTATGTTCTGGCTTCCGTGAGTTTGCCTCACTGATAACCTTGCTTGGTGATTGGTCACAGCAAGCGGGTCTTCCGTGCCATTTTGTTGATTGGATCAAATAAGGACGATGACTTGATATAACTTATGTGCATGACTTTTTACCAATGACTAATTGTGCTGTGTATTCAGCTCCGCAGCCGTCCGCCCTTTGCTCCCCCCCCCCCCGATGTGGTGACGTCACGCGTCACGTGCTGCCGCAGGAACGCCCGTCACCACCTGGCGGCGGCGACGCACGTGCTGGAGCAGCACGGGGAGGAGCTGCGGGCGGCACCCGACCAGACATCCGAGGAGCACCAGGCCAAGTAAGCCTCCGGCCGGGGCTGGCGAGCCGGGCGGGGGTACTCATGGTGTTCATGCGGTGCTACCGCGACGGCCCGACGCGTCAGCTGGGGGGGGGGGGGGGCGTGTGTCGCAAGGTGGCGCTCCTGACGCGGGGTCTGGGGACGGCTTGGACCGGCGCGGCTGTGCTGACACTTCCGCTGGTCACGTGCTTACCTTCCCGCGGGTCGACCGTCGACCATCGCGGCCGCCCCAGGCGTCGAGCGGGACGCGCAGTCTCACCGGGGTCGGTGCGCGCCAGGCTGGAGCGGTACCGGCACCGGGAGGCGGATGTGGCGCGCTGCTGGACCAAGCTGGGTCAGGTGCTGCTGCAGTCGTCGGCCGAGCGGCTCGTCACCTCCACGCCCTCGCCGCCGGCCGAGCCCAGCACCGGGCAGCTGTTCTTCCGGCAGCTGGAGCTGTCGCAGCTGGAGAAGCAGGTGGGTGGCGGTGGCCGGCAAGTGGCGCCGCCTGACGCCGCGCTCTCTGTGGGGCGGTGCGCGAGGGCGTGCCGGCGTGTCAGACGCGCAGGAGGCTCTGTGGATTAGACTGTGAGGCATGCGCGGAGATGGTTGGCAAATGCGAGTCTTTGCGTTTTTTCCTGTATTTCTAGAAATCGAATTTTTTGTTATTATCCTTGCTTTATTTTGTTCTGTGCTTTGGCGTGACGCTGTTCGTCTTCGCTGTTCAATTCCCTGTGATATTCGTGGTGGAAGCTTTTTCTTTTGAAGATGGGCTCGATGATTCTGCTGATTCTTGATTGTTCTCTTGTCACGATTCATTGGAGAAAAAGAAATGCATTAGTTTCGCCTCATCATGCATTTCAGGCTGCCTTCATGGCACGACTGCCTGGCTAATCGTTACTAAATCGGGTCATGACATGAGGGCTGAAACACCGTCAGAGCTTCTAGAATACGCAGCCAAAATGCTGAACTGTAATCACGCCTCACCTACACCAGCGTCGCTGCCCTGGGCCAGCAGCGCCGACGAACTATTCCATGACGGCCGGAGTGTCTCGCCACCCCGCCTCTCTCCGGGCTCCCCTAACTCCCTGCTCTCCCTCTACAGATGCCGGACTCTCCGGTGCGCGACTTCGAGGAGGCGCGCCGCGTGTTCCTGTGCGCCCAGCGCTGGATCCAGCGCGCCAAGGAGTACTATTCGCTGCAGGAGCACGCCTCCGACCACGTGGAGGTGGTGCGCGAGCATAGCCAGCTGTTCAAGGCGCTGATCTTCTTCGAGAGTGACCTGGACCGGTGCGGACTCGAGCGGTGGAAGGAGAGGGGCGGCCGTGGTGTCGGGGGGGGGGGGGGGCGGTGTCGGATAAGGCTGCTGCCGCTGTCAGTTCAGCCACGGGTCTCCAGTAGTCTGAGGAAGAGTGTGATCAGCTGAGCAGTGATTGACGTGTTGCTAAGTGATGGGAAACTGGATTTGTATCAAGGTCGATGTGCCCTAACCGTGCTGCCAGTCATCGATGTCGCCATCGCTGACCTGGTCTTCGCGCCGCTTCCAGCCAGTGCAAGATGTACAAGCGTCGTGTGGACCTGCTGGAGCCGGTGCTGGCCGAGCTAAACCCCACCTACTACCTGCTGGTGATCCGACAGCTGCAGTACGAACTGGCCGAGATCTACAGCGACATCGCCCAGTGCAAGGTCGAGGTGAGCTCAGGTCCGCGGCGTGGAGAGGCGAGATCTAGAGCGGCAGCGACATCGCCCAGTGCAAGGTCGAGGTGAGCTCAGGTCTGCGGCGTGGAGAGGCGAGATCTAGAGCCGCAGCGACATCGCTCAGTGCAAGGTCGAGGTGACCTCAGGTCTGTGTTGTGAGACGGCGAATACACCGCACAACGCCACGTCGAGTTCAGCTGGAGCTCAGGTATGCGAACTGACACAAGGTAGGTAAATTGTCCTGGTAGGATGAGTCATTCGTGAATGAATGGGTGGGTTCTACCTTGTTGATCTGGGTAGCCTTTCGATGAATTCACTGCTGATTCAGTGAATTCAATTCACTGAAAATGCCTGTGCAAAAACGCGGCTGGAATGCTTGTGAGCGTCCTGTCAGCCCTGCTGGCTGGTGGAGCTGGGATTGGCAGTCCTGCTCAAGCCACTGTGACCAGGTGTGTGACCTGTGACCTGGTGTGTGGCAGGTGACCTGGTGTGTGACGTGTGACCTGGTGTGTGACCTGGTGCGATCTGTGACCTCATGTGTGGCCTGCGACCTGGCGTGTGACCTGTGACCAGGCATATGGCTATCACCTGGTGTGTGGCCTGCGACTTGGTGTGTGATCTGTGACCTGGTGTATGACCTCTGACCTGGTGTGTGACCTGTACCCTAGTGTGTGACCTGCGACGTGGTGTGTGGCGTGTGATCCAGTGTGTGACCTGTGACCTGGTGCGTGACCTGTGACCCGGTGTGTGCCTATGACCTGGTGTGTGACCTGCGACGTGGTGTGTGGTGTGTGATCTGGTGTGTGACCTGTGACCTGGTGCGTGACCTGTGACCTGGCGTGTGACCTATCACCTGATGTTTGAACTGTGACCCATTCCAGCTCCAGCGGGACCGAGACAAACGGGGCCAGCACGTGACCGCTCACGTGGTGGAGAAGATTAACCACCTGGCGCACCAAAGCATCAAGTACTTCGACCTGTTCCTCGATACACTCAAGGACAGGTGCGTTGCGGGACGGTTGAGAACGCAGGGACAACTCAAAACGGCCGTCTTGCCCCTCCGGCGCACCGTCAATGTTAAATGGATTCGGTTTACCGAAGATGCGTTTTAGCTCATCATGTAGTGGATCGCTGCGTACACTCCTGATTCGTCGGTACACTTCCTGTTTGCCAAGAGAGTTTTTTACACGCTATTCAAAGTTACAAAGTGTTCGCCTTAGCTTAGGCTTGATGCAGGTGAGTTTCACATGTTGGTGCTTACATAATGACACCATAATAGCGCAAAATACCACGGCTGAAGACAAAGCGGAATAGTTGCGATGACCTTTGTTGGAATTCGTTAGTGTTAAGTTTTTGAAATGTAGTTCCCTGCTCGATCTGATAACATATAGAGAAAAAGTACTTTTGGATTAAGACCCAATCCTTACATAATTTCGGTTTGTTTGCCTGTCCCATTGCGCGCGGGGAGGTGTGCTGCAAATAGCTGCGATCGAACGGAGACTACCGCCCCGATGTCGAGTCCGTCGTGAGCCGGTGAAGTACCAACACGGTGCGCTACTGTACTGCCCACGCCCGGTGTAACCATGACAACGCATCTGGCAGCGAGGGCCACTTCCCGGAGAAGTTTGACGAGGACCTGACGCGGCCGGTGCTCATCGCCTACTTCCACCTGGGCCACCTCTACAACCGGCTGATGGAGATCGAGCTCAAGCCCAAGCTGGCCAACGTACAGAAATCGATCGCCGCGTACCAGGTGCGCCACTGGTGCTCTGTAGCCCCCTGCCCCGGTCGGCGGAGGGTCTGGGCCGCCGACTGTGCCGGTCTGGGTGGGTGCGACAGCGGCCGGCCGTGCCAGGACTCCACTGAACTAGACCCCACGCGAACCGCTAGCCTTCGCGGGGTCTGGCCGCAAAGGATGGCGAGATCGCGTGAGTGCTGCGTGGGTCGCGTGTACAATTTCGGCGCCGCGGCTGGTCGCTGGTTCGGTCACGTGATCGGCTGGCAGCAGGGGTCGGCCCGAGCGGATGCACCTGGCGGAAAACCGAAACGACCGGCAGCAATGACACCCGCGTGCCGCCTACGTTGCAGTTCATCATCGACTACTGCGACCGGGTGCCGATGGGGGCGGAGAAGATGACCGAGGAGCTGGCGGCCTGCCGCGAGATGGCGCGCCTGCTGCCCACCAAGATGGACCGGATACGCAACGCCATCAACGATGGCGGCACCGTCACCACCGACCTCAAGGTCTAGCTGAAGCCGCCGGGGGAGAAGCGCCTGAATCATGTGATATTTGACGGCGGAGCTGGGAGTATGGGTGGGCGGCGAGGCCGCTGAGGCGGGCGCTGGTGGGAGGACGCTGATTAGCTGCAGGGAAGACGGTGGCGGCTGTGGGCCAATCAGCGCCCGGTGTTGACGACTGGTGATTGGTCGATGTTTCCAAGACGAGTGCAGCTGGTCGGCTGACCTGCCGCAAGGGGGCTGAAAAGTCCACGTTCCGTTTTTCAGTCGCTCGTGTTTTTCGCATGTATAACTCTTTGATCGCGCGAGCTTCGCCTTTGGTTGGCTCAGGAGTCGTGATCTTTGCATAATTGCCAGAGTGTACCATGGCATGTTGTTTTGCCTCACTTGACGTCGAGTTTGCTTTGCGTGAGACGCCGTTCCGACGCGGCTGGGCTGCGGCCCAACCGGCATGGGCAAAGGTGCATTCGTTTGTCTGCACTTCGTCGTGGCAGCGTGCCGTGCCGGTCGTATCGTGAGTCACGGGGCAACGGCGAACTTCCTGACCTCCACACGCGTGACTCAGCCTGCGCACCGCCACGCCCCAGTCCGGGCATGCCCTCAAGTGAGGCGTTGAGCTTGTCCGCCTCTGGCTGCACGTGTTCCCGAGCAGCGGCGCCACCCGCCCTGCTGCGGCGGATGCGCGTCGCTGACGTGCCCAGCCGTTGCTGATTCCGAGTCGTCGCTGCTTCTGCGTTCTTGCCAGTGTCGTTTGAGAAAAACATAAACCGCTTGGCCGGCCGGCCGAGCGTTTCGCCAGCGACTGCGAGTCAGAGCGCTGTTCTAGTGCCGTTGCCAGCAGAATGATCGGGGAACACCCGAGATGCGCCGGTGACGTCACACCCCCACACGTCGGCGCTCTCCGGCCCCGGCACTGGAGTGCATCAGCGGGGATGGACGCCGCGCTCTGGCTCTGGCTCGAACTCGACAGCCGTAGAGAGGGTTGCAGGAGGCAGGGTGTCTCGGGCACGTGCGCGGCGCATAACGCCTCGTGGGATATGCGCCGGGCTCCGCACGTTACCCCGTTGGCGCCGCGTGGGACTACCAGCCGCTGCATGGGTCGGGTTGCGTGTTCGATGCATTGAACACATGTGCTCACTTTTAGTTTACTCATTTGCTCACTTCGTTCTCGGTGCGCGCAGGGGACTCCCAGTCGCTAAGCGTCGTACTCGCTTCATGGTGCACGCCTGTAGCTGTTTTCGCTTACATGGGCAGCTTTTGACTATGCAAACCGGTGGAAACTCCGTGAAAAGTGGGACAGGCCCCCGATCGCCGATATCTGTCCAGAGCTCCGTCACCTGGTTCACCCTGGAGTGCAATTCCGACACTCGCGCTCACTACAGGAAACCTTCCCCGCCCCAATTTCCATCAGTGTTTCGGCGCTCGTGGCGGGGGCAACGTTCGTATGCAAGAAACGTTGTGGCCGATGTTTATTGCAGGTGTTTCATCAGCGACGAGGCACCGCAAGGGGCGCTGATAGTGATCAGAACATTCATCACTTTTCCTTGCATTAATCTGCAATTTTGACGCTTGTGCTCACTACAGAAAACATACCCTGCCTCCAATTTCCATCAGTGTTTTGATGTCAGTTGTCAGGTATCTGCATGTGGTAGACAAGAAAAACTAGGATTAAGAACAGGCAGTGGCTTGAGCCATTACAAGGCATTTGGCATGGCTGTGGCTCATTAAAATAGGCTTCATTGAAAATTTTGAGCTGTGCCCTCACCACCACAACCCCCATCCATGGCCACACCCTGCAGATGCCCTTGCCTCAATCTCACCTTGGTTTAGATTGAACCTGGGTCTGATCGGAGCAGTTGGAGGTGAGGTGGAAGGGAGGAGGGGGTGTTCAACCTGTCAAAGGCCACCAGGTGTGGACAAGTGATTGCAGTACTTTGGTATCTACATAGCAATTGGGATTTAACTGCAAAGACTATCACTGTCCAAACAGAGAATTCAATGAGCATGATGCGTTGTAGATCACAGAATGCAAAAATGGCAGTGCAGCCATTCTACCAAAATACTTGAGTGTACTCAGGCAGAACAAGTGCATGCCATTCAGTGGAGCCACACTGAATGTGGTAAACCATACTGACATTTCTCATTTTATTACTTGACTATAGACATTGACCCAACACAATATTTGGTGGCTTGGTACCAATACACATATTTTCAACAGTGCAATGAGTACGATGTGAAAGCAGTTTGGCGATGGCCAGCCAGAAGTCTAATTACTTCAGGAAAAGCTTACACTGATAGCAGCATTGCAAACAGGTTGTTCACAGTATGCCTAAATGTGATTTTTACTTTTGCACTGCTCAGAAAGGAATTTGAAAAAAAACTAAGGACAGATATATTGCAGCTGAAATACAACAACAAAATCATAATGCTGAACCAAAGACAATGGATGTGTTCATGAACACATTGATAGCTTCCTCCTGGGAATGGGGAAAAACTGAAAATAACTGATTACAGCACCTTAAAATACATTTAGCACAGGCCATACATACATTTAAAATGCATGCACATATACCACATTGTGGCTTTAGATCAACCAAAGTTACAACATGAGTTAGTTTTTCTTGCTGTTTTATAGAATGTCTTGGACTGAAGGCTAAGGTCTTCTGATTTGGAAACCAGATCATCAAGCTTCTCTCCTCTCTCCAGCACAGTCTGGATGGTGTTGTGAAGAATTATCTTGGTTTCATCAAGCTCACTTTGAATCTTGGTCATAGCATCAGCTTCTTTTGGGTTCTGATACCTGGCCAGCATGGCTTCCAAGCCAGTGAATGCCACTGTTTCTGGGGTGCCTGTTGGCCATGCTTGTGGGGCTACATTCTCAGAGAAGTCATCCAAAACCTTTGTAATCAGAGTGTGGGCAACACGCTGTGGATATTCATGATCAGAAATGACTACTCCTGCCAAATTGTCTCCCCTCACATACACGTGGCACATGTACTCTTGCTCTCGCACAGACTGTCTGGATGACTGGTGGGACCTTTCTACCAGAATCTTGCTAGTAAATGTCATAAATTCCTGCACACTTCCTCTCTGGAAAAACCCAAAGCTCTGCAAATCTTGGGCTGCTTTCAGTGTCTGTGCAGCATGAGGGTTCTTGTAAAGTACTGTAATACTGTACAACTTCATGGCTGAGGCTAACAATATAGCGGAGTGGCAGTGTGAGCTTTCTCTGCCAAGTTAGCCAGTTGCACCACACAGCCACTGATGTCTTCCAAATTGTCTGATTGAAATGAATCGGAGCCAAATGACAGCTTCCACTTTATCCTCTCGATGCTTTGGCTTTCCTCTACTTCAATCTTTCAAGGTCAGAATTCCGCCTCCGTGAGCACAACTCGGTCAACAGATCTTCACCCCACAATTCCTTTCCTGATGAAACGGCATCTAGTTTGAGATCAGCTGACCAAGATGCAGGATTCTCAATCTTTATCCCAACGTTTGATGACTCACTGCCGGCCAGCCTTACCCTCCAACTAATGCAACAGATGTGCGCTGATGTACAGACCACGCACCGCGTCCCCCACCCGCAACACAAGGAACTGGTCAGATTATTACAGAGGCTCGGGCAGACTGGGACGCGCACAAAATTGCATAAAGCGTCGCATTCGTAGCCAGATACGACTGCCATCTCTGACGTAGTTCAGCTGCCTTCTAGCACAAAGGTTTTTACCCATGCTTGATGGGAACCTCCTCCAAACCCTGGGAAAGCTCAGATGTCGGTAGATGGTACAAGTCGTATATCAGGGGTGTAAGCTCCCTTTCAGCTGAGAGGGCTCCAGCCCCCCACTTTGAGAGGACATTGGACCGAATCTGAGGAAAACCTGTTTGTAGGCTGTTTGGAGGTCAAGCTTCGTAAGTGTTCACTGCTCAACCTACCCCGCCCCCCCCCCCCCCAACTTATTTTGAGAACTTACGCCGCTGCTATATATCTAAAAAGGCGTCAGTCATGGTGGTAGGCTTGCAAGAGGGTGTGGGGTGGGGGGGGGGGTATGGTCTTTCAAGCTTGGGGAATCTCTGATTTAATCGCTTACAGGCATGCGCTGGGATCCCAAGATAAGATTAGTAATGCCACAGCATTCCTTGCAAATGGAATCCTGTGATCGAAAGTGCAACCTTTTTGTGGCTTCGGACACATTTGTGAATACTATGACAATGTAGCGAAAGAAACCATGTGTTCTATTCCTATAAATTTGTCACAGGCATGTTTTCATATAAAAGCCTCAGCCCCACCACTTAGACAACTGCATGCTGTTTACCACTGTGCACAGAAAGAAGCAAGATAGTGCTTCTCCCTGTTTACAAGCTATTGTGGCTCCGGCTCCTAAAATACGCTTTGCAGCATTTTGTCAGGCCTATCTTCGTCACACCTGTTGCACACATGTGCCGGAAAAACGGTGCACTTTTAGTGACGTTGCGATATGAAGAGCAATGCGCATACACATAAGACATGTAGAGCATCTCGTGATAGCAATGCTGCTAGCAAAGCATTGCTAGGTTAGGGCAGTAATTTTTTGATTTGTTAAAGCAAATGTTGTTGCAACGATGATACCATAGTAATACAGTGTAATAGCAATGTCATCTGTCATATGACCTTGAAGCCTTATATACCAGCCTAACATGAGTCTGTTTAGTTTTGGCTACTTTAAGCTGCTGAAACACGGACCTCCATTCGATACTGGGCATCGCGTAGGTCGGCTGGAAAAATTTGTCAGTAGAAAGCTGCAAAACAGGCAGGTGTGGACAGCAGCAGCATGCGCAGAGCCAGGCATACGATTCGCAAGAACGCGCAAGAAACGGCCTTGGCGAGAGGCATGCGTAGGGGGCGGCGGACGTGTTGTTGAAGTTGGTTTGGTTGTCGCAGTATTTGTATTTTTACATTGTGCTCCTTTTCGTGGTGACTGGAAGACATCATTATGTGTCGCACACCCATTTAGCAAAATACGCCGTTTGCCGCTTTGGGATACGCAACTCAGAAAGTTCTATTCCTGCTTGGGTAAGTACGTAATTGTGTTTATTTAACCCATTATGTCAGAAATACGAACTGTACGGCAGCATTGACAAGTTACAATGGCGGACCTAGTCAGATCCACTACTTGTAGACATGGCAAGTGAAGTTTTCTTGAATTGTTCAAATGCATGAGATAGCCCAACCGCAGTGAAAATTTGGACAACAAGATTTGTCAGCTAGGCAACCACTGATTTGATAAGGCATCCTGGCAGCCAGACATTAATGGTGTTGGCAGCCAATGATGGTGTTGAATACATCTGAAAATTATGTTAACATGTATAATCCATAGAAGCTGTCACTGCAACAAAAGCCCACAAGCACTTGTTAGTTCCATTTGTATCTAATCTGTCATGGACAAATGAGTGGGGTATCAGGGGGGTTCAGCATAACTCATCAGAGTTTTGCAAGCATTAAGGAAGTGCAGGGAAAATGACAGCCTAGGTCATAAGTGACCGAGCCTCTGTGGAGGTACAGGCCAAGCATAATTACTTATATCATTTATGTATGCATTGACATAGCTTGTAATCTAGATGCTGCCTGGAGTGGAATGGATCCTAACACCCTTTATTTTGCCTGGTTCTCCTGCCTTCAACCCACTTAAAGCATGTGCCTGCAGGCCAAGTCAGAACACTTGCATTCTTTGCTTGTTAGTTTAGGGATGTTTATCTATAAAAGGAGCATGATATGTTGAGCTTTTAAGCAAACACACATCTATATCAATTCTAGTAAGTTTG